ACCTGAATCCATCCAGAACCTGTGGAGGAACCCAAGAGCAGAGTGATGGAGAGGAAGCCTTCAAGCTCCAGGAGCTGCAGATGGACACTTGGAGGAACCAAATCCCAGAAACACTGTTGGACACTAGAACAGCTGATGTGGAGCAAAATAAAGCCTCTGATGAGTGAAGAAGAGGACGAAGACGTTTGGATGGAAACATCATGAACGTCTCAAACACAACGTCTGAGTTTAGTCTCTGGTTCATGTCGTTTACAGTCAGAAGAAACCTGATGATCAAATAAAAAAATCACTTTAAATCTAAATGTCGACATGGGGATGAATAATTTGTGGCTGGACTGTGGTTAGTTTCTTTGTTCTTTGTGTCTGCAGGTTATGTGTCGCTACAGAAACGTGTGGAACATTGATCTCAAGCTGCGTCCTGCGTTTCTTGGTGGCATCATGCAGGGATCAGGTCTGCAAACATCAGTAAACTGCATTTTAAACACTGACTGTGTCTTCTGTCGTATTCACATCGTATTTCTCTGACAGGAAACAAGCCTCCTGGTGTGGTTCCCAACAAGTTTAAGTACATGGGCCACGACCTCCGCCGCTTGTCAGAATACTTTGACGTTCCTATGCAGATGCCGGCCAACCCGTTTGAAGCCATGTTTGAAAAAGGTACATAAAAGCAGCATCAGTACAATCAAACTGTAGCAGCCATTTCATACTGTCAGCTGTTTTAATCAAGACATAAATAAAGATATTAACCAAAGAAACCTTATAAGTCAAACCCTCAGAATGAGGATGGCAGGAGCCATTTTAAAGCATAAACAACATTATTTTACTTGTTGAGCCACTTGAGGGCAGCAAAATGAGTTTCAAAACTTTTTTTTAAAGACAAGTTTCCGACCATCTAGTGTCTGACTGTGAGGCGTTTAGGGGACATCTGTAAACTGCAGCATCTACTGGTGACCGCAAGCCGTTAATGGAACGTCTGGAAACTGCAGAGACGCTTGTGTGAGACGCTTAGGGAAAATCTGGAAGCTGCCACTTATACATACGGCTGTGAGACGTTTAGGGGACATCTGGAAACCAGAGCTTCTACTGATGTTTGTTTTCCTCCTGTTTCCCTCCTCCAGGCTCGCTGCCTGCGATGCGATTCGTGACTGCAGTTCAGGAGAAAGAAGGCGACATAAAGATGGAGAAAGTTTCCCGTGAACTGTGGAAACGAATCTGGAACGAGGACAAAGACATCACTCAACCCGCGTCGCTGTCGGAGGTGCCGACTTCCTCAACAAAAAAAAAAAAGCCAACATTCTCCTTTTTCTTTTTCTCACACTGATTGTTGTTTTGCAGGCGGCAGCGAAAGCCGGCCTGTCTGACAGCGAGATTAAAGAAGCGCTGGCAGCGTACACGTCCCAGAAGGTCAAAGACAAGCTGAAGACCTCCACGCAGGACGCTCTGGCTCTGGGGGTCAGTGGTCCTTCAGCTGTTGATGATGATGAAACAGTGAGAACACGTCAGAGTCTAATCAGCAGAGTCTCTCCTCCTGTCTGCAGGCATTCGGCTTCCCCATGTTGGTTTGTCACGTTAACGGAAAGCCGCAGATGTTTTTTGGGTCGGACAGATTTGAGCTCATGGCCCACTGCATCGGTGAGGACGAAGCCGCACTCGATAGAAACGTACTCGTCCTGTTTCTGTGGAAGTTGATTCTCACGCGTTTCTCTCTCGCTGTGTTTCAGGAGAGCAGTGGCTCGGGCCCAAACCCGACAAAGCAGCTTCCAAACTGTGAGGTGAAGAGTCTCGTTAATCTGCTCACAGATTCTGGCCTTTTGGTTCTCTATAACACAAAGAACACCGCATTTCCTCTGCTGTGCCTTCAGGATAGTCTTTCTGCATTAAACATTCTATAACGACAGTTAATTTTGCTTCTGTTTAAAGGAACTTTGACAGTTTGCAGATAAATCAGCAGATTTTTTTGCATGCCGACGAATGTTTCTGCTGCGTATCACTAAAGCTGACTTTGCTTTAATCAGATGACGCTTTTTCTAGAGTCTCCAGATTAAAAAATGAAAAGGAAGCAGAAAAAATTCACATTTAAGAATCTGCAATCACAGAATTCAGACAGTTTTTATTAAAAATACTCAAACTGTCAAAATAGTTGGAGATCAATTAAATACTTGACATGAAAAATGATTAAATCTGAGCAGCTCTGTCGACATTAATCCTCTTTATTCATGTGGATTTGTTGGTCCTCTGCACTGATGAATGTCGTCGGTACATGTGAGGAACAGCTGATCACGTTTCTCCAGATTAACTTTTGCTGTAACTCGAACTCCAACTAATGATCATTTTCTGTATTAATCGATTAGTTGATTGGTCAATACAATGTTTGTTGTCATAGTGGTGGAAATAAAACAGAAAATATTCACGCTTCAGCAGCTGAAATTACCAGATTTTGACTGTTTTCATTTTTAAAAAAATGCTCAAACTGATAATCAGATTAGTTGGTTAGTAACTAGAATGTTTGACATCTAATAGATTAGTCTTTGCAGCGCTATGGTTTCCTGTCTGGGTCATGTAACACTGATTTGTAGCTTCTTATCTGCTTAAATACACAAACAAAATATATGTTTAGTTCAGCTGTAGCGCAGTCGGACAACATTCACAGTTTCTGCAGAATTAAAGGAGGCAGTTTTAGATGAAGAGCTTCATGTACAACTGATCCAGCAGCCAAAACAGGAAAGTAATAATATTTAATTATAATAATAACTTCATTTGTAAAGCACAGCTCGTACAGAGAGTTTAACTCAAAGTGCTTCACGTCAAAGAGGAGAATAAAATGAAAAATATGAAATGAGTCCAATATGAAGGAACAAGTAAATCTGAATGATGTGAACCTACATAAACATGAAAAGAAGGTTTTAATTCAGGTTATTTACAGAATCAGATGCAACATCTTTGTCTTAGTTTTCTGCTTTTGTTGCTTTTTTAAACAAAAATGTCCTCAAAGTAATTTAAATTAAGACTATAAAAGATTGACTCAGCCTGTTTAAAGCAGCTCAACGAATTCAATACGGGTCTGTCGTCAACTTTTACATTTTTTAAAATTCCAGTCAAAAGAAGCCAAATTAAATCGGCCATGATTCAGCGTTTAAATGCAATAAAAAGGGAAAACTTTGAGGAAGGGCTCAGCTCAGCAACACATCAGATTAACTGTCGGAAGCTGGTGCACGAATAGATTTAAAATCTGTAAATGGAGACATGAGTCGTGATAAAAACGACTGTTTTTGGTGGCACATGAAGGCTTTGACACTAATTCCTGAGGAAGAGGAAGAATCAATCAACAGTTAAACTCGATTGTAATCGTCTCTGACGCAGCGTCTGACTGTCTCGTGTCACTTCCATCCATCAGAAACCTTTTGATCTGATCAATATTTGATATAAACCTTCGGCCTGAGGATGAATAATTTGGGGCTGAACTTTGCTGGAAGGAAGCTCGGTTTATTATTAGTGACGAACTAAACCCTCCAGAAGCTCGTTCTACGAGTTCCAGACGCAGAAAACAAAAACACGTTTAACAAAAGGTGACGAGGAGCTGCAGGACCAGTTTCCCGAACAAAGAGCAGAGAGGCAGGGCCGCCGTGGCCGCCTTTAGCTGGAGGGGAAGCCAGATGGGAGAATGTGGTCTGACTGACTGCACGCCTGATATCAGCCGAAGCATCACCGAGGAGGAGGAAGGAGCTGCTGCAGGTGAGGGGGCGGAGCCAAGGAGGCAGGTAGACAAACAGCAGCATGCTGATCCCCCGAGTCTGACGGAGAAACAAACAAGACGATGAAGGCGTGAGGAGACTGGAGCATGTATGAAGAGCGTGTGACTGAAACATGAGATAACGTCCGACCGCTGGTTTATTTTCCCTGAGAGCCAAATTAAAGGAGGTGAGTTTGTTCACACGTCTTCCCTCTGAGTGTCTGTGAAACATCTGGGAGGCAGAATGAGCTGATTTATCTGCATTATTCTCATTTTACATACTTCTACGCTCTGCTTTCTGCTGATTTCTTTATGTTTCCAGTCCGGCAGCGTCGCTCTGTGCCATCGTCCTACCTGTTTGTTTGACCTTTGGGTGTGTAGTCCAACACCAGCTGTAATGTGTCTGAGAAATGCTGGTGAACAGGTTCAGAGATCCTGGATGTGACGTGAAAGGAGGATCATGTGGTTAAAGAGTTTCCTTGTGTGGCTGCAGCATCTGAAGCAGCTGAGAAGGAGACGGTGGATTTTTCTGGTTGAACTTCCTCCTGCAGTTCAGCTAAAGACGCAGCGACGTGGCAGAAACTGAACAAAACAGGCATCAGTTCTTGTTGTGATTGTAGAAAACAGAGTGCAGACCTGCCAGACAGCGATCCAACCTGTGATGGTCTCGGGTTCCTCATGCTGCAGAGTCGAGTTACGATTATCAGATTCTGACACCAAATGAGCTCCAGTTCAACACCTGCAGCCCGATCTGGGCTTTAATCATTGATCTGATCCACAGTTAAACACTCTGAAGTCGTTATAAAGCAGCTGTAATTGTACATAAGTGAACATCTCTTCATCTCTTCCTACAGAATGTCTTCGCCATCGGGATCAGATTCCCGCTGCCAGCCGGGAGACACCATCTGTGGTGAGTTTTTATCAAGAAACCTCTGGTCACTAAACAGGTCTGACCGACGTTTGCCTTCTATCAGATCCAGGATTCATGAAACCAACCCCCTGAACCAAAACGCTTTTATTACACAGAAACAGACAAAACAGTTGGATTTTTAACTTTAAATAGTGCTTAAATGAATTAAAAGTGGCTGAAAATAGCCTTAAAGTTGTGATATTTCATTTTCATTCAGAGTGTTCCCTCTTTCGAGCCTTATCTCTGTTTGTCTGCTGTGATGAAAATCCATTTACAAGATTATTTCGTGGCAGTTTTGGATCTTAATACGATTGTTTTTGCATCTTTGTGGAGCCTCAATATGTGAAGTTGTTGCAGAAACCAAAACAGACATGAACATCTGGCAGTTTGTCAGTAGATTTGCCAAAAACAAAAGGCAAAATAACACACAGTGTGTCTGTATATATGTGTGTGTGTGTATATATATATATATATGAACCCTCTGAACCCATGAAGACGCGTTTCACTGGATTTTCAACTTTCCTTGAACGATTCTTTCGGGAAAATTTAACTAAATCTGAGCTCAAAATCAAGATATTTTATTAAAAATCCCTTTATTCTACCTGTCTTGTTTCAAAATTCACTCAAAGTAAATCATTTTTTCCAACCAGATTCTATACAAACCAGATGATTCTCCACCACTGAAACATTCAGAGTTTTCAGGTTGAACTGCAGCCAGTGTTTCCTCAGAGAGACTGAGAGGAAAGTCCAACCTACTGGGTCAATAAATAAAAGAAACACGACAAAACTGTCACCAAGAGACATGAAACAACCAAAATAAGGCACAAAATGAGACAAAACCAAGAGAAACAGAAGTGGTCAAACTATCTGAAGACACAAAATGAGACTCAGAACAAGAAAGTAGACAAAAAATGAAAAAACAAAACCATCACAAAAGAAGAAAGAACTGATAAAAACAACAACACAGACAAACGAGACGACAGACGGGAGACAAAGACGATAAAACACAACCAGATGGAGGCTAAACTGTCCAGGTTTTCACCTTTTTGAAAAACAAGTAATCAAAGAAATCCTCGTCCTGACTGAGTCCTACTGACAGGAGACGTTTCTGAGTTCTGTCCGTCTCCGTGGTTCTGTCTCCATGGAGCTGCAGGATTTAGGGTTTTAGAGGTTTAAGGAGTGTTTCGTCGCTGTCTGTAAACACGCGCTGAACAAACACGCTGTACAAACACAGTCTCCTCCTCGCTGGTTCACGCCCGCCGACTCTAACGTTTCCTCCTGGTCCTTGCAGAGATCCGGGTCTATGAGCAGGAGGTGATCGTGGTTCCCATCTTCCTGCTGTCCAGCTTCCTCGTCACTCTGGTTTTCATCCTCCTGCTGCGCTTCTGTCCAGAGAAGGTCGACCGAATCCGGCCCAACGCCTCCAAGTCGACTCCCAGGAGAGTCCTGCAGGGCATCGACGGTAAGACCCTGGAGCTGTAAGGCTGAGGGGCACCTCTCAGTCCTTTAGCTTCTGGCCTGGATGTGATGTTCTAGCCTCAAACCCCATCAATCACCTTCAAGAACTAAATAAACATTCAACAAAACACTGGTGCAGCTACATCTAAAGTTGTTTATACAAAGGACTGAAGGACCCAAAGAATCTCAGGAATCAAAGTTTCTACACAAGAACAAAAGCAGAAGGTCTAAAATCTGCCTGAAATGACTGAAATGAATTTGTACAAACTGCCTTAAATCCCAAAGTGACTCGACATTCTTCTAAAATGATTAAAAATGTGTCCAAATGGACTCAAAGTTTAGTGAAAAATGACGAATAACTCGTCCAAAAGTAGTTTAAAATTGTCCAGGATGACTCAAAAGTGGCTGAAAATGATTCAATTTTTGTCAAATGTGACTTGAAATTTGTAAAAAGGACTCAAAATGGTCAAAAATGACCCACGATTTGTTAAAACTGACTCAAAATTTATTGGAAATTACTCAAAATTTGTAAAATATGATGTAAAATGTGTCGAAAATGACTCAGTATGTGTCAAATATACCTTGAAACTTGTTAAAAAGGACTCAAAATGGTCAGAAATGACCCACGATTGGTTAAAAATGGCTTTAAATTGGTCAAACTTGACTTGAAATTTGTCAAAATGACTCAAAATTGATCAAATGTGACTTTAAATTTGTCCGGAAGGCTTGTTAATGTAGGAAATCTAAACTGCTAGCTTGTAATCTGACACCAAAGCAAATACTCTGCTGCACAAGTAATCTGATTACTGTGAGGAGAAGGTAGAATCTTCTCAAATCTTGTCAAAATGACTCAGAACTAGTCAAACATGAATTGAAATTTGTCTACAAGGCTTGTTAATACAGGAAATCGAAACTGGTAGCTTGTAATCTGACACCAAAGCCAATACTCTACTACAGAAGTAATCTGATTACTGAGGAGAAGGTCGAACCCTCTGACATTTTAACGACTCTACTCTCTGCTGACCATCCTTCATGTCCTTGCGTCTGCAGCTCCTCCAGGCCTCAACGTCCTGGAACACGAGAGCATCGCCTTGGACACCCCCAGCTCCTACTCCACCTTCCACCCGCCCAACACCTACCAGTCCAAGCGGCTGTCCACGCCCGTCAGCCTCCCCTCCGGCCCTCCGCCCCAGCAGCAGCCCTTCACGCCCAGCTTCACCCCCGTCGTCCAGCCCAGGGAGCTTCCTCGCCAGCGGCTGCCCGAGTCCTTCAACCTGGTCACGCCGCTGCCGGTCGCCTTCTCGCTGCGATCGGACTCGGCGGTGTCGCTGTACCGAGCTCGGATGGACAACAGGAACGTGGTGCTGCGAGTGCTCAACGGTGAGTCATGTAACACAAGGAGACATAGTCATTCTGGACACATCGTCAGCAACTCTGGAAACGTTTAGTCAGTGTTTCGGATAACTTTGAGTCCTCTTGGACAGATTTGAACTCCCTTTGTTGGAGGGGTTGAGTTGCTCCACCTTCCTCTGTTGGATTCAGGTTCAGACAAACACCATCCAGGTCAGAGTTTAGCAGTTTTGGCCAGTTACAGGTTTTTTCAGACAGATTTTGCGTCATTTTACAGAAACGTTGAGTCATACTGGACAAGCTTGAGTAATTTTTACGTCATTTCTGATGAGTTTTGAGTCATTTTGGACAAATTTAAAGTCCATTTGAGACATTTTTATAACGTTTTAATCCGTTTTAGAAAAGTTTTTAGTCACTTTAGACAAACACTGAGTCAGTTTGTGCGTACTGAGTAATTCTGAACATTCTGGTTTCCATTTTGTTCTTGTGTAGAACCATTTGTCCTCAGGCTTTCATGGTGCAAATTTATCAAACATGACTCACAATTTGTCCACAATGACTCAAATGTTGTCAAAAGTGACTCAGAATTTGTCCAGTATGACTTGAATTTTGTCAAAAATGACCCAATTTATTAAAACGGATTCAAAATTTGTTCAATATGAGTTTAAACTCATCCAGAAGACTTGTTGCTGTAGGAAATCTAAACTGCTCGCTTGTAGTCTGACATCAGAGCAAATACTCTACTGCATAAGTAATCTGATTACTGTGAGGCGGATGTTGGACAAATTTTGAGTCCATTTATACATTTTTTTAAGATTTATTTTGGGCCTTTTATGACAGTCACAGTTAAAGACAGACAGAAACGTGGGGAGGAGAGTGGGGGAATGACATGCAGCAGATGAGCTACTGGGTGGAATCGAACCCGGGCCACTGGGTCGGGGGCTGAAGCCCCTGAACATGGGTCGCCTGCCCGACCCGCTGAGCCATCCAGACGCCCCATTTTGTTTTTGGCACGTTTTTTCGTCACTTTAGACAAACTCTGAGTCAGTTTGTGCATGCTGACTAATCGTGAACATTCTGGTTCCACTTTGTTCTTGTGTAGAACCTCTTGTGTGATGTTCTCTGGACGGTTCTCCTGCTGGAATATTTCTTGTCATCTTATCAGCCAGTATTCTGGTTCATCATCAGACATTCATCTATAAACGTCATCAACACCTTCTGCCCTCATGCAGCCCCACATCATGATGCTGCCACCTCCGTGCTTCAGCATCAGGACCATGCGTCCACTGTGGTGGTCCTGGTCAGGTTCACACCAGACCTGTGCTGATCTTTGTCCCTCTTCTCTCCACAGACTCTGCTGATGCCTCAGAGAGACACAGCTTCCTGGGCTTCGCCTCCTTCCTGGCCCAGCTCGGACCTCATCCCTTCCTGCCGGAGCTCCTCGGCGTCGTGTCGCTTCGAGCGCCGCTGGTCACCGTGGTGGAGGAGCTGGAGAACAGGGACCTGCTCAGCTACCTGTGGAGATGCAGACAGGTAGGTCATCACCCAGCTATTAATCCAATTGTTCATCATTCTCGTAGTTTGATTGCAGCACCTGGACCTGCTTGAGTTCCTTGAAGACGTTTCACATCTCATCCAAGAGGCTTCATCAGTTCTGACTGACGAGCTTCGGTTTCGGTTGGGGGTTTGTTGCTCCTCCCCCTCGTTATGTGAGTCGTTAGTTCTCCCCCTGACACAAAGGGTTCGTTCATACTCTCCCCAGAAAGACGAAACTACATCCACACCTCGCCACAGAAGACCTTAACGAACCCCTTTGTGTCAGGGGGAGAACTAATGACTCATAACGAGGGGGAGGAGCAACAAATCCCCAATGGAAACCCAAACTCAGGTGTTAATGGCTCCTTTAGGATGTCAGTATCTGGAACTCCCAACTAGTCAGTCAGAACTGATGAAGCCTCTTGGATGAGAGGTGGAACGTCTTCAAGGAACTCAAGCAGGTCCAGCTGCTACGATTAATGTACCAGAATAAAGATAAAGATAAAGATAAAGGTAACTGTATTGATCCCACAGTGGGGAAAGTTCACCGTTATAACCACGACCTGGAGGATCTTCACAGACACATCTGTTCATCATTCATCCATAAACCCTTACATTTATTTAACCACCTAATCATCCATCCATCTATTTATCTACAAATCCATTAAACTTAAATATATTTCTATAACTAGGTTCAATTAATGAGAATCAACAGAAGTTCTGGTTCTGTCATTTGTATGGGTTTGTTTGAAATTAGAGAAATCTTGTTTAATCTGAGATTTTCACAACAAAAATGTTGAATGAATGTGTTCATCGGTGTATATATTATATTATATTATATTATAAATGACGTCAGTGGTTTTTCACATAAACATCCTTCAATAAACTTTAAAAAGCCCAAACACATGTGATCTAAAGTCAAACGAAGGCTAATTTATTTTCTTGTTTGTGTTTTGCAGGAAAAAGTGGATCCTCCGTGTGAAATGACGGAGAGACGGATATTTACGATGGCCCAGCAGGTCGCCTCCGCTCTGGTTAGTAGAGTCCTACAGCTTCACCGCTTTTATTTTGAAATCTCAGTCAACACGGACATCGTACCGTTCACCTGCCTCACATATCTGTGGTTGGTTAAAACCTGTTAGCTCTGGTTTCCAGTAAAACCGTGTTGTTTCCATCAGTCTGGACTTCCAGTTCCAGAGAGCTTTGTTCATAAACCAGTCTGGTTTATACAACACCTGGTAAATATTTAGAAAATAGTTTTTTTTTTTGTAGCTCTTAACAGTATTTTCTGTTGGATGCAGTAATAATCAGAACCTCGGCTGTAAAAACCTCTAAAATCTCAGCAAAATGAAAGATTTTTGGGCACATTTGCACCTTTTTAAATACGATAAAAGTGCATTTGCAGATTGAAACACGGGATTTCAGGAAACAAATGTTCTTTCTGTCAGTATTAAGGAGGAGATGTTTGATGGTTTGTCCACCTGCAGTGTGTTTTAAACACCGTCGATGCCTCTGACCACATCAGCTGCTGCGTTTTTAACCCTTACAGGTCATTTACCTGAACCTTAACCACCTTTGTCTAACCATGTTTACCCTGATTTCCTCGCCAGGAGTTCCTCCACAACAAAGACCTGCTCCACGGGAACCTCCGAGCTCGCAGCGTCCTGGTCAGTAGAGAGTTCACGGCCAAGCTGTGGGGTCTCCACGGCGTCTACAGCAGGAAGAACCAGGACTCCACCCAGAGGGACGACCCCAGCATGAAGAAGTGGCAGGCGCCGGAGCTGCTGGTCCGGAGGCCGGCCGGCCACAGCAGCGACATGTGAGCTCCGGCCACCTGCACAGACTGATGGATGGACGAAATAAAAACAGTTATTATCAACCAGGTTCTTATTCAGTGTTTAACTGACTGTTGCTTCTCTGTGTGTTTCCCTCCAGCTGGTCCTTCGGCATCCTGCTGTATGAAATGGCTTCTTTAGGTGAGTAGAAGTCAACTTTTAAAGAACATAAATCCTTAGAAAGTGCTGGAAGGACGACTTGTTGTTTAATATGACTGCAGGCAGTGTTGGAAAATCAATTCATTTATAGTCATTTTGGATTTTAATCAGTTTTTGCATCACTGTGGAGCCGCAATATGCAAAATATTTGAGTAAACTAAAGACTAAATGACAGATTTTCCAAAAACTAGTGACTACATGACACAACACGGACGCCAAACCTTGACTTCTTTTTAGAAAATCACATAAAAGACATCTTTATTGCGTCATATAGTCATTTGTGTTTGGAAAACCTGTTAAAAACCTGCCAGCGGTTGTCTGCTGTCTGCTCTGTGGAAACACCGCCTCCACTTCAACACCAATCTGAGTCTTTTTTTGTCATGTGACTGTTTTTTTTTCAATGATTTAACTTCA